GGCGTAGAAATAAGTTGTAGAGTAAAAATTTTATTTAAGAAAAGATACAAAATGTTAAGCCACTTTCCTGGCAAGTTACGAATCCTTACACAATGACATCTCGGTGGCTTCGACGCAACGTACTCGTCTAGGCATTTTCCGAACGTCTTCGAGAGTTGTGGGCAAAAATTCGGAGTGCAAAGGGTTAAGGAATTCGTAATACAGGATTCCCTTCATATGCAATCGACTGAAATTCGTCGGAAAAAACTTATCTCTACACCTAATACATACTTTCTCTCTTTTTGTTTTTTCTTTTTATGCACTGGAAGTTTCGAAGGGTGGCGAAAAATTGGAGAGAGAGAGAGAAATTCTGTTAGAGTGGATAGAGACTCGAATTTCACTTTCCAGCTCGTTTCGTTACGAAACGTGAACAATTTCACTCGTTGGTTCATTGGGGGAATAATCGTCGAGCGTTCAGCGCGATGACGGTTATTAAAAGCTCGGGGAAAAATATCGATAATTCGGACTCGTTCCCATTTTCGACATCTTTTATTTAGCCGTCGAATTTATAGTCGTCCTTGATCGGCCGCTACCATTTACCGAATCAAGCTGGATGGGAATCGAGGTTATTCGATTTCGTATGCGAGGACGAGTGAGTGGGTTTAATGCATGTGGGGAATTCAGGGGGGAGGGATTCAATAGAATGAATGAGTTTGTACATATACCGAGGGAAGGGTATAATAAGATAGGGTAATTTTAGGTAGTGCGTAAGGACAGGGACGAATAAGCACGCGGTGACATTTCGCGAATGTATATATATATATTATATCTAGCGTCACAAACTGCGCCTAACCCTCCCTGGAAGGCGGCCACCCAGAGTCCCACTGCGTACCGACTTGGGGGCGACTGCCATAGCTGGTCCCAAGCCCAGTTGAGAGAAGTAGATGGGCCTAAGCTAACTTAACCTTATTGCCACCGGCCACCCAATGTCGTAAGACGGATTCCCTGCACCCGGGCTGAGGCACTCCAACTCGGCGGTGGTTTCGGACCCTAAAAAAAAAAGGTTATTCGATTTCATGCAACCTGGAGGAAGTATGGAAACGAATCGAACCATTCGCAAACTTCGATCGATCGTTTGTCCAGGGTGAAGGAACAAGCCTTTCGTGTTTCCATTACCTATCGCATCCTGGCGAAGCATTAAGACGAACGCTGCTATGGTTGCCCCATTTCCTGCCGGATTAACACGTTCGCGAACATTGACGAAGCAGCGTTCGCTATTTTCAGTGTTATTTTTGCTTACCGTAGGGATACCTGTATTTTTGTGTACGCAATGCAACGCAAATTTTGCATTTTTTATAACGTATTGCATGTAAATAACAGAGAGCTATCGTAGAAATTGGTACACAAACTTTGCTTGCAAATAAAAAATTTTCATTTCGCTCTCCTGCAAAATTTCGCGTTTTCAACTTGCAACAATTTTCTCTCGAGACTGAGATACGGGAACGTGTTAGGAACTTATCTTTTGCATTCTTTATAAAATGGTACTCCTCGAGGAGTGATAAATCGATAATAAATTCGAAATCTACGCAACGCGACGCAAATTTTGCATTTTTTACAATGCATTGCATGTAGATAACAGTGATCTATCGTAGAAATTGGTACACAAACGTTGCTTGCAAATAAAAAATTTCAGGTTTTCAACTTGCAACAATTTTCTCTCGAAAGTGAGTTTTCTCTCATTTATAAAATGGTACTCCTCGAGGAGTGATAAATCGATAATAAATTCGAAGGATCCTCTGTAATCTCGTTTCGCAAGGATTTCCTAAATTCCACCACAGTTCCATCGTTCGAAACCAACGACCCACCCGTTACATTATTGAATCCATAACGCAGCTTCCGAATAGTCCATCTTCTAACGAATTTATCGAGTAAAACACAGAAAACTAAAGCGCAGTCTGTAATCTGTAGCAGAATTAAAGCCTGACAATTGCTACTTGATCCACGAGAGCGTTGGAAAATTTATCGACGGACGTCGTCCGAAGAGCGTTACTCCATCGCCGGGAGGATGTTTCGCGAGCAGACGGAGTGCCCGACGTCTCCTCGTGCACGGGGACAATAAGGGAGAATGCGGGAAGGGAGATTCGAAGACTGTGGTTGGATCTTGGCTCTGAACGAGGAGCGTAGCCGCGGCATAAATATTGATGAGATTGTGCCGGCGAGGAAGTTTGCCGGCGCTCCTAAAAGTACGGAGACGCGTCGCGCGGAAAGCCAATAGTTACCCGAATAATCTCCCGGCCACTGTGAATTATACAAATTTCCTCTCGATATCGAATCGCGGAAACGTAGCGCGCCGGAATCACCCTGCAATTGATTCCAATGGCCGCCGTGCAATCTGCACGGAGCAAAACACTGGCTGTCCACGTGAATATCCCTGTTATTTCATTTCTCATCCTTTTTGTTTCCATTCCACCTTCTCTATGGAGAGAATCTTTCGGCTCGTATAGGTATCGTAACGCTAAGTTTATTTCCCGATACAGCAATTAGTTGTAGGTTAGGTTAGAGTTGCCTTCGGAATTTCGAATTAGGTTAGCTTGTACGAAGATGCTCGAGGATTATACGAAGTTAGATTCGCTCTAAGAACAAGGTAAATTCTCTGTCTTCCGAAGCGTTCCGAAGCGATAGCTGAGAAATATAGTTGTTGGCGAAATTAAGAAAGTCACGTAAGGACATATTGAAGAGTTAAAGGTGGTACAGAGAATTTTAATTTAGAGGATATCGTTGGAGCAAGTCACGAAGTATGCAAATTGGCCCGATCATTGCTCGCAGCCACGATAACCCTGTATATCGCCTCCATTAAAGTTACCAAATCGTAAGTGGCCAGGTCGTATCGCCGAGCAAGAGATGCTTTTAATTAACGAAGAAACAACTTGCAGAACCACTTCTCCATCTCTGGTCGTATCGAAAATCTACTGTATTTAATTCCCGGAAAAACTCTGGTGAACACTTGCGAACCTGTATGAAAAGTCGACCGAAATCGGGATACGATCGTCGATAGTTGGTCTCGACCAGCCGATATTCAGACGCGAATAATTGCAGTCGTTTACGGTGTATCGGATGCGTGAAAGTGTCCACGACTGGAAAACTGCCGGCGTGGCAGTTAGATACCGAAATGAATCCGTGCACACGCGGCTAGATTTAATCCGCGGGTATACACATATACAGGGTGGTCCACGCAACGTGTGCACCGTTATAACTTCCAAAATATGCGTTGCACGAAAGAATGTTATATCTGACAGATAAGGTTGATTCTCCAACTTGATATTACGTGAAGAAAATTTTCAAGTAATAAAGTGAAATTACTCGTTAGCTATTAGGTTTAGGGCTAATAACGGTCAATACTTTTTTACTTACAATTCGATACTCTACCATATTTTGGTATAAAAAATATAGTATTCTGTTTAAAAAAACAAAGTTGACCTTCAAATCTCCGAAACGCCTCCACCTGTAAAAAAAAAATTAACGCACTACATAGTGTACCCTTTTAAACTATGTAACTTTTGTATATAACATTCTTTCGTGCAACGCATATTTTGGAAGTTATAACGGTGCACACGTTGCGTAGACCACCCTGTATATATTCACGTCAGCTGGTTGGAAACATCCATGTGCACGATGTCCTCGTAGCGATAGAACCGACGGAACGACCATTGACAAGAACTGAGGAAAGTAGCCGCGACACATGTGGGGAAACAGTCCCGATTAAACGACGGAGCTTGCTGGCAAATCCGCTTTTGGATAGCGTACGCTTTGCATAACTCTCTAAGTGGTCCCAGCTTTCGAGACGTTGATGGAAACGATTCAGGAGATGCATTTCTAGAGGTAGCTGCGCGACACGATGGTACGTTGATCCTGGGAGATCTTAGGCTTCTCTTTTGGACTCACTTCAATTTTTTTCCTGTTTTTTTTAAGTGGTCATTGAAGGAAATCTCGATGAACTGTCTTTGTTTAACCCTCATCCGTCCCTCAGTTTCGCATCTTAATAGGTCCCTCGGTGTTAATTTGGCATAATGGTAAAAAGTCAGTTAAGTGTAAAGATAAATAATTCATTTTCTAAATTCTTTTATTAAATACAGACAATTTTTTCTACAAATAGCGGAATAATACAATTTTTTGGCGGAAAAATGTGTCGAATTGACACGAGGGACGGACGAGGGTGAACAGTTTTATAGATTTGAAGGGAAAATAAATTTGCATGGAGACTATTGGTAATTTAATTTTCTTCAGTCGCAGCGAGATTGGCACTTACGATTTTATACGAAAAATTGAAACAAATTGTTCCAACACTTGCAGCGTTTACTGGAGTATTAAGTTTGGGACTTGCGTTAATTTTAATTTTGAATTTCCCAATTTATTGTTAATATCTGAATTAATTTGGCGCTCGATTATTGTGCATCGAGTAATTCCCGATCTTAATGCACCGCTCGCCGAGCAAATTACACTGGACGCGAATGTGTCGGGTTTATGGAAACATTTATCGCAATTTCTAACCTCTACCAACAACGTCCACGTTACTGTCACGTAACGAACCAATGAAGCAAATTACGATTTCGCTACCGTAGGTTATTATTCCATGCGGCCCGTCGTTAGATCGGCGCATCAACCCGGCTTTACATCGAGGTAAAGCGAGCCCGTAAACATAAACTGCAAACTACTATGGACGACGTGTCCAAGCTAGGCGAAGGTGTTGCCGCAAATCGCGGTTCACCGCAGGCTTTAGTGCTTTCGCCTTCAGACATTGCACACGTCCCTCTCCAACCCTATCCTCCTCGATCTCTCTCCCTTCGAGAAAAAAAAAGGGAGAGAAAACCATTTACGTATGTGTTTTCGTGGAAAATGAGACGATTTGCTCGAGCTAATCGATAAAGCAAACAGCCAGTTGAAAGAGATAACGAAAAGAAAACAGAGGCGAAGGAAGGAAGGTAGGGGGGAAATGAAAATCTGAGAATGTGATTTTATTGCAGACACGTTCGCGAGCAAGGTGGCCGCCTGCCAGGACAAGTACGCCGACGCGAGTGTGGGCAACGTGACCGGAAGTAACGCGGTGAACGTCTTCCTGGGGATCGGCATCGCGTGGAGCATCGCCGCCGTTTACCATGCCTGCCGCGGTGAACAGTTTTTAGTGGAGCCTGGCAAGTCAGTATCGATTCACCCTCACCTTTCGATATCCTATATACACCGACTCACCGCCGATATTCGGACACCCTTTGGAACGCTGTAAATTTTTGTAAATTCGAATTTTTGTGCGTGGGAGCAGTAACCGATTTCAGTGAAATTTTCAGATACATAATTGGCGTAAATGTAGGAAACGTGTGCTTTAAGTTCAGACAAAGTCAGATAAATTAAATAAAATTCGTTAAATTAAATTAGAATCGGATGAAAAGGTTGCAAACAGTGTCGTTTACAATTTTCTTCGTGATTCCCACGAATTGCAATTTTTTCCAAATGTTTTTCGTACACTCCATCTGCTCTTCGTTCAAAATAAGAATAACCTCGTTTCGCGCCCCCACTTAACCGCCTACGCTTTTCTCCGTCTTACCCTCTGCCACGCTCTCTGTCTACCCGCAGAACGGACGAGAATCGGTCCGAGAGCGAGGTTACTCTTATTTTGAACGAACAGTAGTATACTAATCCTTTTGGTCCAATTTTAAAAATGTTACACTGCTCTGAAGAGTGTCCGAGTATTAGCGAGAGTCGCTGTGCACACACCAGCCGTTCGTGAATGTTAGGACACCCGTTGTGTTCTTAAGAATCTATTAGTTCGTCTCGTAAGTTCGTCGCGAATTTTATAATTTAGATTAATATTTCCAAGTGACCTTTAAAAAAACGCAAGTGCCTTCAAATTTAACAACTTTTTCCAATTTTTATTTTAGTAAGACAATTATGTCTTCGTTATAAAATTTCCTTACATTTTCTCTTCGTTTTCGAACTTAAGGAATGACCTAATATTATACGATTTAACCCTTCACTACGGAATAATTTCTTAACGACCGTTCAGGCTCGCTTCACGTTCGGTAAGTGTCCTAATATTTGCGAACGAAAGTGTACAGGCTGTTTCAAAAGAGAAATCCTCTTGAAAATATAGACGATACTAAGACAGCAAAAATTTATCCGTCGCCTGAAGAAGGATTTGCTTGCTTAGGAGATCTCCTAGATCGATTTTCAAACAGGTTGCACACCGATTCAATTCAATCATAACTTCCACCGTAAGATAAAGAGATAAAGCTGTTGTCGCGTAGGCTCGATCCCCCTAAGTCTACTCCACAAAGAGCCCGCGGAAAGTTTCTTCTCGGAAACGTCGCGTCGTTGAAAACTCGGATGAGCAGATCGACGCTTTTTCTCAACCCTTTCCACACAGAGAGGATAGAGATAAAGACGTACCACGCTTCGTGGGATTGAACTAACTTTATCCTAACTTCCTCGCGAACTTTCCGAAACAATCGCTTCTCCTCCGAGCGTAAAATTTTTCCAAACTCCTTAATTGCGATATTTTTTTTCAAATCTCTTTGTCCCTTTAACCCCTTAACCCGCAACAACGCGTCAGACTCGTGGCAGAGGTTCTGGTCAAGATACGACGAAAATAGCGAGATCGGTGAAAGTGGGGAATTTGTTCTTACATTTGTCATATTGCTCGTCTGAAACTGGTGAACAAACTTGGGCGGGTATTAAAGGGTTAACTTATCGAACGAGCCTCCTGTAATACCAGACACATCTCCGAGCAAACATCCGCGGAGTCGTAAAAAAGTATCGCTGGAACCGGGATGAAATGAATCTCGATTCTGGGAATGTCGGAGTGCGTTGACCAAGTGAACGACCGTTGTAAACGGGACTTAAAGTGCGCGACACTCGTCCTTGCACAACGTAGATCCATCGAGGGTAGAAAAAAGTAGTACAAAGGGTGGGCGACGTGAAATGAAACAATATCAGGTGAAACAGAAGGACGTAACTTGGATAACGCTACCGTCGTTTCCCATTTACGATCGCGAACCCTGCGGAGAGACGTTGGGAAGGAATTTTTCGGTTAGAACGAGATTGGAAACACGAAGGAAACTTGGCCAATGCCTCTCTCTCCTCGTCAATTTGAACGTAGCTGTGAAACGTGACCACCAACCGGTTCACGGTGTTCTACACTATGTGTCCCGTTCTAGAGAATTGTTATCCGTGACGTATCGTCAGGAATATTGTGTACGAATGCAATACGCGAGTGTACGGGATATTTCCGAGACGTCAAATATCGAAACGTGAGCGACAGTCGGCTCTCTGTAAAGACTCGACCAGGCATAAATTCGCCTATATCGGGGGATGGTTCGATCTGTTTTTTCAGGGAACCGTAATGGCCGTCCAATCGATCATCCATCCGTACAACTTCGCTACTATAGATGTCATTTATTCAACATTCTATACCTCTCTTCGTATTACTTTTTCCCCTCTCTCTCTCTCTCTCTCTGTGTTTCACGAAATAAATTTAGTTGTCTCAGTTAATGGATATTTCTCGCTGAATCTCGCTTATCACGGTAGATCGCGGGATTACATTGTGTGAAAAGTTGGAGAATCCACAGAGACCGACGCGGTTCGATGATAAATATTTACACAGTTGAGACTGCGCCGCGGTTCGATCGTCGTGCAAGCCGTTGCTCAACTGTAATCAGCCGTTTCCTATGCAAGACGCCGCCGGATGCGTTTCCACAGCATGCTCAATTTTCTTCCTTTGCCAGAGCTATGCTTCTTGACACTTACTTAGCTTCTCCGTTCTCGTATGAATTTCAACGCAGACGAGAACGCGTCGGCCGCCTAACACCACCTACGCGAGAACCTAAATCCAGCCCCGCGTTCGCGTAAATATTTCACGGTGCACGTGTGTAACGTGGAATTGTCTATGGTAATGCAGGAATAATTGGTGACTTTTTAACACGTCGAAGGGAAGAATGAATCCGTTGAGCTCTGTAAATAATTGATTTTCCGTGGAAATTGTTCCGATATATAAGTGTAGATCGGGAGGAAGGCCATAAATCATGTGAATGGCGACAGATGCGCCGGTGGACAAGGGACACCGAAGGATCGTAGTTGCACAATGTGTGCACAGATGGCGTGGTGATGTTCTCGATCGTTTTTGCGCGCGCGTATCGATCGATTCGAGCTTTGCATCCATTATCCGAGATACATGGCTCTCGATACCGTATGCCGGACGAAAAAGCGATATGATTCATTGTATTGGGTTTAGTCATGAGTAATAGTGTCGTTTCTTTTTAAAGACACCCTGTATAATATTCGGGCCGTTCGATGAATAATTTCAAGGAGAAATGTTTCAATTGTCGAGGAGAATTTTTTTTCTTCATTCCAAACAATGTTTGCGTTCAAATATAACGCTTCAAGCAATGTTGCACTGAAACGTAACGCGTACAACAATGTTTTGCGTTCGAAATAGTGCTCCCATCGATGTTGCATTCGCGAATAGAGACTGCAACAATGTGTGCATTCAAGTTTCAAAGATGAACAGTGAAATAAAAGTATGTTGCTACTCTTTTCCTGCCACTGCAACCGTGTCCCGCATCTCGATCAATTTGCAACCTCAACTCATACATTCTCAACATATTTCTCCACCCCTATAGATAACCCTATAAATAAGTTAATAAAGTAGAAAACAAATTTTCTGTTGCAACAGCTTGGCCTTCTGCGTGACGTTATTCTGCACGGAAGCCTGTCTGGTGATCTTGGTTTTGCTACTGAGGCGGACGAAGAGCATCGGCGGCGAATTAGGCGGCCCTTTCGTGCCGAAACTGGTCACATCGCTGATCCTTTTTTTCCTCTGGGTGTTCTACCTCATTATGTCGATCCTCGAGGCCTACGGCTATATCGAGGGCTTCTAAGGGAGTCCGCTCGACGGCAAACGTCGGCCTACACCCGCTGCGCGTATCTTATACTCTCTTACGTCCGCCAAGGCGTGTGCTCAACGAAACGTTCTCTCGGCAAGTATAACACACAGACATGCACACACAGACATCTGCTTTTGTTCTATTAATGAAAGCAGACGACGGATAGTGGTCTATTTTTGTACTACGGGTTTTCTTTTGCACGCACGAAAGAGACGAGGCACGTGCCTGTCCGTGCTACGAGGTACTCCGCAGGTTAGCGTGACAAAGTGGATTGCGGGGAAAAAAGGTTGACGTTTGTTCTATTCGTTATACATTCGTGAGAATGATATTAATGGATAGTTGATGTTCTCCCGATGAAAACGAGCCCAAACACGACCTGATTCTGTAACCCCGATTCGAAACTCGAAGGACACCCTGTATATTGTTTATTGCGGAAAATAACACGAATTTGGCCGTGTTTGGACTCATTTTCCTCGGAAAAACTTGAACTGTTCGTTAATAACACTCGTATGGACGTATAACGAACGGTATGAAAATTATGGTCATCAAAATCTGGGATAAAAATGTTACACTAACTGGTGGACTGCTGCACCGTGAAAATTGGTCCTGCGGACGTCGAAAAAATTTAATCGTCGTCGTGATCGTGTTGTTCGAAGCCTAGAAAAAGCTCTCAGATAAAGCATGAAATGCGTGGGAAGCACAATAGTCCGTAAACAGCAAAGAATGAGCTTTTGTCTTCAGTTTCGTCGACCCACATCCCCGACACGAATTCCAACCTCAAAATGAATTACCACCCCGTGAAGAAGGGAGAAGAGGAGGCGGGGAGAGAGAGAGAGAGAGAGAGAGAGAGAGAGCAGAAAGGGGCAGGAAGACGAGCGGTGGAGAGGGAACACTTTATCTGACCGATTTATCGTTTCTCCTTTCAGGACAAAAAGGAAGTGGAATCGAAGGGGTGCGATTTCGCTGGCGAACGAACTCTCTGAACTCTGTGCCGGAAAACTACTGGTAGCTTTCACCCTCGCTACTCCCCCCAAAACACACACCTGGGACGATTAACAACGAACGTGATTGCGTGACGTTTAATTGAATGCGTGTATGTGCATTGGAGAGGTACCTGAGAGATTTAGAGAGAAAGAGTGGGAGAGAAAGGGAGTGTGTACGAAAGGAGAGCAAAAGTGTGCCTGAAGAACGAGCGATTAATGGAACGGCGAAAAAGAAGAAGGATGAATTAACTTGAGAGGAGCGAAAGGGAAGAGTTGAGAGAAACTTACGTGTGCGAGGAAGAAAAGCGAGTTTGCCTTAAACATAATTTAAAACGGATTAAAGAGAAACACATACGCAGGAACGTAGGTAAAGAAAGGGAAAAAAGAAAAAAAAAGGAAAAAACCAAAAAGAAAGGAGCGTTCTAGTCTCGAGCCGTGGCTCGTAAGTTTCACGGCTGTTATCGAAATATGTACGATGCAAGAGAGAGAGAAGAAGAACAGAAGAAGCAGATATATACATATATATATATATATACACATACATATATAAATGTATGTATATATCCTTTACAAAACACACACGTATAAAATAGCGTATTTATTTAATCCTTTAAGGAACACAGGTTTCTATGGTATTTTAGTAGCGGATTGTATTTGCCATTCCTCTTTCGCCAGAGAACGATGTCGCTAATTTTATATAAACGTATATTATCGTACGAACATTCCTTTTACGATGAAAACGCTCCTCGACGCGTATACAGCGATCCCGTTGTCGCGAATACGCCTCGAGGCTGATTAGGTTAGTAGCGTTGTATCGGCGAGGAGAGCCGACGATCGGTAACGGATTTGCATCGCAAACGGTCCGAGAGTCCGCGATCTTCGACAGAAAAAAAGAAAAAAAAAAGGGAATACTATACACGTAGGTAAATAAAGTGGACGATACAGCCGCGGCAAGAGCGAGGCAATGTACAGCGGAAGCGCGAATTTTTCACACAGGAGATCCTCTCTCCGCGCCGCAATGGCAGGGAGGAGTCTTTTAAAAGGAAGTTGAAGACTCGTTCGAGAGATTCCTTGGAGATCGTTGAATTCCTTTTAAGAACAAACTAACACACACACATACACACACGTACGTACTTATAGATTCCCTTAAAATCGTCGATAAAGTGGAATTTTTTTTTTCTTTTCTCTCGTTTAATTTTAATCGTTCAACTTTTCGTGACGTTTTGGACGAAAGAACGAAAGGTAGAAAGTTGACGCGCGATCTCGATAATAAGCCCGCTCGCCGCGGCGATCGACGGCATAGATCATTCTCACCCACCACTGCGATCAAACCATGTTTGTTATATATTAAGGGTAATTAGGTAGCGCGACGAACATTATTGGAACGGTGGACGGGGCCGGCCTTCGCTCGAATGTCAAATGTTTTCGTTGGTGTTCACTGCCTTTGAACGAGGGTCGCTTCCGGTTTATCCGCCCGTTCTCACGCGTTCATTTAAGGTTAAGAGTAAAATCGAACGGACAGTGTAGACAAAATCACGTAGGATACACACGTACATACAGACTAAGTGCACATCAGGTGCAGAAATCACAAAAAGAAAGAAAGAAATGGAAACATAATTCAATAACTAAAGACATCGATCAAGGGAGGGGGAAAGAAAAAAGAAAAAAAAAGAAAAATCAAAAAAAATCGACAACACCTCCGGAACAGCGTTTCTTAAACATCAATCACGGTTAATCCGACATGCTCGAAGGATCACAGTGACTTAATAATAATTATTTAAAAAATGAGATAACAAACGTACATGATGCATGTACATACGTTCTCAGTTGAGAAGATAGAAACTGCTCGATTGTAATTTTAACCGAAAGTCCTTAGAACGGAAGCAGATTTGCAAATGACTTTAGCCTGCGATAGAAGAATTCACAAGCTGCAGATGGTTGTAACCGATTAAAAGTTATTCAGTTCCTCCCGAGGGGAACACCTCGCGAATACGGATCTCCCTCGATCGACACTGTGCCCTCCGCCTTTCTTCCCTTGGATCAAACACACACAGAGAGAGAAAGCAGCCGGTGATCCCTGAGAGAACGACAAAAGATCGAGGTCTCGTTGGAATTCGTGGACACGGCTGATTCGTGCTGCGAACGCAACGACCAGTCCAACGAGAACCCTTTTCTCCCCGAGGAGAACCGCGAGCAATTAATCGAGGGAGGGAAGGAAAAGAGAAAAAAAGGACGAGACAGAGTGGAAAAGGGAGAGAAAAGAATCTCTCTCTGGTCCTCGCTTCTGATCGTTCTCCGAGCACGATATAATGGGAAATATCCACGGTGGTCGATACAGGGAGAAAATTTGAAGTTTCCCTCGGCGAGATGTCTCGGGAGGGTTTGAAAAGCAGCACACGCGAGAGGAGAGGATTTCACGGGTAGAGCGAATCAATCGTGGCTGATCTCTGAATCGTTTGCAGGCAGAAAAACGGAGAAGGAGGGAGAATAACTATCGGGGAGACCGCGCGTGGACACGAGAGGAAGAACCGGAGGAGGAATTCTCGAGAGGTCGGGAGCGACCGATGACCCGGATTTCCGGTAAAGACGCTCGTCAATCCGTGGCGGATTTTTCTCTTTCCCCCTTTGCGCGAGTCGAAAAATCGAACTAACGCGAGTATTCTCGCTCGAGAAGAGTCGTTCTCTGTGGGAAAAAAAAAAGGATTTTCGAGCCTTTATCTGTGTTCGCCGCGAAACTGATCTATGGATGTTGAATTCTTGTATCTACCGTTGAATATTTTCCTGATAATACTTGCAAAGCATTGGAATCCTACTGTCGATCGTTCGATGATTTCACCGAGATCGGTGAAACAAATCCACGCACGCGAGAAAATTGTTCAAACGGAATGAATCAGCTTGTGAGGGGATCGCGCAGTGCTCGACGAACGAATAGCAAAGGCACACCAAGGCCTACCTTCGCATCGCGATAGTCTCGCGATAAATTCGTTTCCCGGATAAGAGAGAGATTGTTTCCCTCGGTTAACCGACGATTTCCGGAACAGCAAAAGAGAAGCCCTCGAAGAGCCAGCATTGTCCTTCCCAGAGGGAACCTCTTTTCTTCTAGAATCGTGTGTACCATCCTCCCGAGGTGTTTTCTTTTCGAATTAGAGAGCTCGTTTCGCGCTATCCGCGAGATTTGGACACGCCTACAGCCGCCATCCTCTTGAGCCCTGTAATTTCGTACGTCGAGCTTGTTGAGAATCTTGCAACGTGAAAGGACCAACGTGAAAGTCCTTGTGGAATTAGAATTGCACAAAAATTGGACGTTGGTGCGCGCAGTCGTCTACTTTTCGGGCAGGGAAATCCTAGCGGAGGGTCTGGTCCCTCGACAAAGCAGATCTCGTGACCTCCTCTCGCGCACACTTATTAATTAAACGAACCGCCTCCGCGTTAATTCGCTTCTGATCCTCCGTCTGGAGGATCCCTAATTACGTGGGCCACAGAAAAGAGGAAGAAAAAAAGAAGGAACGAACGAATCAAGGGGGAAATCAAGCGAACGACCTTCTTTTTTCCCGTCTGCCTGCAAACGATAACTCCGAGGTCGTGGAGCACGTGGATTCCTCGGGACCCTTGCCCAATTACGTGAAATCTCATGTTCTGGCGCGCGTTTACGCGCGTTAATTCGCGGCGAGAATGAACCAGGTGAGAAAGAGGATAGGAAAGAGATCGGCAAGTGAAAGCGTAGATGAAAACGTCAGCCAAAGATCACAGATATACATACGTATGTGTGTGCAAACGAGAGAAGAAGTATACAGGGTGGGTCAAGCAAAACGGGCTACTTAATTGTCTTATCCAGCTACGGTGGTGGGAGACAGCTATTACACGTAATTTAAGTGGTTTCAAGAGACGAATAGGATGAAAGAAAAATTTGTCTCAAGGCCACCTACTGTATGTTGCAGCAAACATTAACGTGCATAATAATACGACCTTGGACTCTAAAATTTTAAGCTGAATGCGAAACTTTCCCTCATTTTTTGCCATTTCTTCTTCGTTGAAACCGTTCAACCCTTTAACCCTCGAACAGCCGACCGAAAACAGTGACA